TCTGCTGAGTGGAACTTTAATTAAATGTGTACCACTCTTTGGTCTCAGGACATTTGACATCAAAGAGTGATGTCTACAGTTTCGGTGTAGTTCTGCTTGAAATGATGACAGGTAGGAGATCCATGGACAAAAACCGGCCAAACGGGGAACACAACCTTGTTGAGTGGGCACGGCCACATTTGGGTGAAAGAAGAAGGTTTTATAAATTGATAGATCCTAGACTTGAAGGCCATTTTTCAATAAAAGGCGCGCAGAAAGCTGCACAGTTGGCTGCACGATGCCTTAGCCGGGATCCCAAAGTCAGACCTATGATGAGTGATGTGGTCGAAGCCTTGAAGCCTTTGCCAAACCTCAAGGACATGGCCAGCTCCTCCTACTATTTCCAGACGATGCAAGCAGACCGAGTTGGATCAAGCCCAAGCCCAAATACAAGAAATGTCCTTAGAACGCAAGGATCATTCTCAAGGAATGGACAACAACAACCAAGAAGCCTATCGATTCCAAATGGTTCTCATGCTTCTCCATACCGTCATCAACTTTCTCAGAATTCGCCAAATCCAAATGGCAAACCATAGAATTGGATTCTGCAGTGATCTGTTTTTACCATTCTTTTCTTCAACCCTCTATGAATATATTTTGTTGTGCCAACATTTATGCTTGGGTGATTGACAGGGGAATAGGAGTACACATCTTACATGTTGTGATCTATGAGAGTGCTTAACTCCTTGAAAAGAGTGTGGTGTAAGCACCATGGAGTAAATATATTTGTGTCAGATAAATCATTCTTCCTATTTTATCTTCAGCCCACATCATAAGTGGAACTAGCAAATAAAAGGGAATTTTTTTTGTTACTTGCTCATGCTTTCTCCAAAAGTTGATCACCTTTGACCTACTCCATAAGCGTAAGTCTGGTGCACAAAGCGTCTCAGGTTTACAATGATCTAGGGAAAGTCTGCACCCTAAGAACATAACGTAGACAATCCATCTTGACACAAGCAACAATAGTTGGGTTTACGACTTCAACTATCGACTTAAAAGTATACAAGAACAATTTTACTATTGCTCCAATATCCATTTCGAAAGTCTTAACCAGGAGTAAATCTTATTGTTGCTCCTAGGTCTTAGGGGCGTATATGATCGGGTGGTTCGGATTTTTCAAATATCAAACCAAATCATTTGTGTCAAAATTTTAAATTTATAAGCCAAACTAACAAAACTCTAGTTTTTCAAATATCAAACCAAACCATTTGTGTCGAATTTTTAAATTTAAATCAAACCAAACTAATAAACCACGGATTTTTTTTGGGATTTTCCGGTAAAGTATTCATACAGACATATAATTAACTTGTGCTCTAAATATTTCTTCAGTCTAACTCCAACCAAAACTCAACTATCTAAGGTGTTTCTTAAAAAAATAATTCAAAACATGAGATGAGTGATGACACTAAAATATTCAACAAAAAATAATAATGAAGTTGCGTAAAATAAATATAGCAAATTGATAAGTCATAATGAAAATGATCATAATGTAAAAGTATTAAATCAGCTAGAATATGTCTAATAAGTATTAATTGCATGATTAAACATTAAAGAAAAATTAAAATTAGGTTATATATTTTAAATGTTTAAACCAATGTAAAATTAAAGAACGAATATTCAACATTATTGTCATTTTTAGTGTTGAATGAATTATTTTGTTAGCATTAGTATTAATTTAATTTTGAATTGAGCTTTGGTAGAGTTACTAATATCTAGGGGTGTACAAAACCGAACCGAAAACTGAACCAAACCGCAAACCGAAAAAAAACCCGACTAGTGGTTTGGTTTGACTTGATTTGGTATTGAAAAAAAACCGACTATATTTGGGTTGGTTTGGTTTAAACTAAAAAAAAAAAAATCCGAGGCCAAACCAACCCGACATTATATATATAATTTTAAAATTTTATTTTATACATAAAAATATTTACTTTGATATAATTTTTAAATATTTCTTATATTTTTTCATACTTTTTATCTTTTAATATATTATTTCAAGTTTGAAACTTAGAATTCTGAATGTTCCAATAAAGATTATAGTCCACATATGTTGGTAATTATAATAAAGCTTAAATCAAAATCAAATTAATGCTAATGCAAAAAGAAAATCAATTCAATACTAATAATGACAATAATATTGAATATTTGTTCTTTAGTTTTACATTGGTTTAGACAATTAAAATACATAATATAATTTTAATTTCCTTTAATATTTAGTCATGTAACTAATACTTATTGAACTTATTTTAGCATGATTAAGTACTTTTAAATTATGATCATTTTCATTATGAATTGTTAATTTGCAATATTTATTTTACGCGATTTCATTATTATTATTTTTGTTGGATATTCTAGTGTCATTAATCATATCATATTTTGTGTTATTTTTTTAAGAAACACCTTAGATAGTTGTATTTTGGTAGGACTAAAGAAATATTTGAAGTACAAGTAAATTATATGTTTGTATGAATACTTTACCGGAAAAACCCGAAAATACCCGAGGTTGAAAAACCTGAGCTTTATTGGTTTGGTTTATAAATTTAAAAATCCGACACAAATGGTTTGGTTTGATATTTGAAAATTTTGAATCAACCCAACCATGTACACCCTATAGTAATATCTATGGACTATAACCTTTATTAGACCATTCAAAATTCTAAGTTTCAAAAAACTTGAAAAAATATGTTAAAAGATAAAAATTATGACAACGTATAAGTAATATTTAGAAATTACATCAAAGTAAATATTTTTATGTATAGAATAAATTTTAGAATTTGTATATATAATGTCGGGTTGGTTTGGTCTCGAGTTGACTTTAGTTAAAACCAAACCAACCCAAGTATAGTCGGGATTTTTTTTTTAATACCAAACCAAACCATTAGTCAAATTATTTTTTTTTGACTCAATTTGCGATTTGGTTAGATTTTTGGTTACACCCCTACTAAGTCTCCTTCATTAAGTCTAAATTGACAATCAATTTTATTATTACTCGAAGGTCTGTTCTTAATCGCACTACTCTAAAATCCAATAATCAAAAGAAAGAATTTTTATTTAGAAGAGGACATAAAGGACGCAAATTTTTAGTTAAATATATGACCCAAATTGATGTTGGTGAATATAAAAGGAACCTTTAGGTCTTTACCGCACCTAGAGCCGTCAAAACGGGCTTGGCCCATGGGGCAGGCCCAATCCAACCCGTTATTGAGGTAGGGTTGTGATAGGATTTTTCAAGCCAGTTTAACACTCGGGCTTATAAGCCCGGCCCATATAAGCCCTTGGCCCTTGAGGCTTGATCGGGGTGGGACCGGGGTCGACCCATGGGCCAAAATTTTTTATATAAGGTTAGCTTACAATAATTTCACTAGTATATAATTTAATTACTTAAATACACAATATGTTGTAATATTATGAATCTTACCAGATTTTGGTACGTCCAGATACATGTATCTCGGAATATATGGACTCAATATTAAGTTAATATGTTCTAGATATACTCTATCCAAGTAGATTCGCATGTATCTAGAATGCATAGACAAATCTCGTGCCCTCACCTCCCTCCAATCTTGCTTGTCACTCTCTTATCTGGTATGCAAGATACATGCTAATTAGACTAGACTTTTTGCTAGTGTTATTAAAACAACACCATTGTTTGTCATATTTGATTTGAAAATCTTCTCATTTTCTTGATGTTATAGAACTATAAGTTTGAAAAAGAAAAAAAAAAGGGGCTACCCCCCCCCCCAGCCCTTGCCCCTTCTAGGATTGGGTTGGGTTAAGCATTTTCAGGCCCTTACAAATGAAGGGCCAACCTGCCCCAGCCCTTGAAATTCCTTGGCCCGCGAGGCTTGGGCTGGGTGGGGCTGAGCGCCTGAGCCGACCCTTTTTGACAGCTCTACCAGCACCTAAAGTTTATACCCATGAATGTGAAATATGTACGCCTTCTGTCGCAATTTATATATATCATACACTTTTTGTTTTAATTCGTCTTAAAAGAATGTTTTTGTTTTTTTATAATTGACAATAATTTAATTTTAGAACTTTCATTTTATTCTTAATGAAATGATTTATAGCCAGACAATGATAAAAGAGTATTTTAGACCACAAATATCTTCTTTTCTTTTAATTATTTTCTTGTGTTCATTACATAAACAAATCTATAATCTTAAAAACATTTATATATCATCTAGACAAATACTATATGAGTGGGTAGGATAAGGGTGAAAATAAGGTGTATTGAAGGATGGAAAGGATACAATTACTGTGGAATGTCAGGTGTTTAACTCGTTTTTTCTACTTTCACTAGAAAAGTCATTTTCAAAAAACTTGTTTTACTAAAAAGTATCCAAAAATTTTGACTAATCGAACATGAAAAAATAAAAAATATTCTCCTCCGTATCAAAAAAAACCCGAGATCATAAATCATTTTACCAATCTATAATTATGCTCAAAATATAATTTGGAACACAAAATCACAAAATAAAGGGATGGATATGATAATAAGTTGACCAATTCTTGCTGAAAGTGACTCTTTTCTGTCTGTTCACTCTTATCCATAAGTAGTTAGTGGCTTACAGAAGATATCAACTTTCACATTAATTTACACATGGATGAACTTCTTGGTCGGATATATAAGAATAGTATTGAATATATAATGTAAAAGTAATACTAATAATATTTTTTATCGACAATTTAATTTGTTGTATATAATGAATAAGGTATATTAAAATAGAAATAGTACTCCGTATTACTAATACCATGAGTTACTATGTATAAGAATAGTACTAAATAAGATTTATAACTAATATCACACTTACATTTGCAACCAAACATTATACTAAAATTTAATATCCGTAATATTCAAACAATCCTGATTATTTTAAAAAACAAGTAGACATATTAACCCCTTCTGTGAATCTTGTCCTTCACTTGTATGGTTAAGATCTAGTCATGTCTAAATAAATATAAACCAAGATTCTAATAATAATATTATCCTCTTTATTACTATATGTTAAATTGATTATTTTAGTTATGGGACAAGCTTTTGGTTGTATTCAAGTGGATCAATCCACAGTTGCTATTAAGGAAAATTTTGGCAAGTATGATGATGTTCTTGGTCCTGGTTTTCACTTCATGCCTTGGTGTTTTGGAAGCCAATTAGCTGGTTATATTTCACTTAGAGTCCAACAACTTGACGTTACACGTGAATCCAAGACTAAGGTTTGCATATTTGTATTCTTTTTTTTTTCTTTTTCGTTATCATCTTACTCAAAAGGCTAGCTTAGCTTGCCTTTTTTGTTCGAGGGATTAGGTGAGTTATTTCGATTTAAATTTTGGGATAAAGTTTATGTCATGTTTGATTGAAGGTATTAGATAAAATCGGTATTAAAATCAAGACTATACTTTGGATAGCTTGTCTCATATAGGAAGTGGGATAAGTTATTCAGGTTATAGTCTTGATTTTGGTAGCTATGTTATTGTCAAGGGGTGTGACACTCTTCGTTGGAAAATAATACCGTATATATGAGTAAAATGATATACGAACGAAGTGATTAAATAGCATATTCTGGACATCCTTGACACAACAAGGTGTTGCAGCCTAGTGATTTCAGACGCCTTGAAAGAACTAACACCCAAAGTGCTCATGTGTTTGAATAAAGGTTGAGGGACTTATGACTTAGATCAGGGCAAAGCAAACTAAGCCTCGTATTTAAGTGGATAAGGGTAAAGGAGCAGGCATATTATCCCGAGTTTTGAAAAGATGTGGTTGATCCTAAGAGTTGGCACCACACTGATTTCTTGATTATTTAAAAAAGAAGTTGAAATGACTAGGGTAACAACATATCCAATGAAATCTCACAAGTGAAGTCTGGGGAGGACAGAGTGTATGCAGATCTTACCCTACCTCATGAGGGTAGAGAGGATGTTTCTGAAATAGATGGAAGTTTTAAAGAATGTATCTTTTTGTACCAAATAATGTGCAATCAGTACTCTTTGGTAGTCTCAACATTTAACTACTTTGTAAAGTAAATGTTTTTAGTTGTTTCTCATGAAAGCTATAATTTTCAGGATAATGTTTTTGTGACTTTGGTTGCTTCAATCCAATACAGAGCCTTGGCAGACAAGGCAGCTGATGCTTTCTATAAACTAAGCAACACAAAGGAGCAGATTCAAGCATATGTCTTTGACGGTTAGAATGCAATTCTTATGCTTATACATCATACTTGTTATGACCTTCTTCTATAACAGTTTTTTTTATCGAAATGTATTGCAAAACAATCTAAAAAGTAGGATGTTTGGAGTCCACTTCTTCCCCACACTACGAGTGAAAAGAAAAAAGTAAGGGAAAAAACTCAAATATGTTATCAAACTTTGAGAAAAATTTCATTTATGTCATTTATTAATAGTTGGGCTCAATCATGCAACTGCCGTTACAGAAAGGGCATATTCATGCCATTATTTTTCTAATGCAGCCCAAGCAAGCCTTACTAAACCCACTCCTGGTGTTTACACCAGCCTAATGAATAAATGACACATGTATTAACATGCACATCAATCACTAAACCGCGGTTAAAATTAACTAATACACATTCTCACCTTAATTTATGATTTAATCATGATAAATTAGTATTGATTTAGTATAAACAGTAGGTGTGAGTATATATAGAGAATGTCACTACTCACTAGTTAAAGAGATTTTGCTTTGCCTTCTGTCATATTTCTCATTGCTTTAATGTCACTATTTTAAGTTCTCTTTTTTCAATCCAAAAGCTTCTGTGCTGAGTAGGTTCTTATTGATGTTTATTAGTTATTAGGGCAACTGTTCCAACATTGGAGCTGGATAAAGTTTTTGAACAGAAAACTGAGATAGCGAAAACAGTAGGGGAGCGACTCGAAAAGGTAACTCTCTCTTTATGTTAGTATAAGTACTACTGCAACTTTTAAGCAAAACAAACAGAAGAAACATAATCAATTCATATCTGATTTTCCTTGTGGAATTACATAGGTTATGTCACTTTATGGATATGAGATAGTTCAGACTCTTATTGTAGATGTTGAACCAGATGATCAAGTGAAAAGTTCAATGAATGAGATTAATGCAGGTATGCCTGGCCAGCTTTAATACTTCAATTGCTTAGTATTCTTTTTCTCCCCACTAAATGGAAGTATAGAGTTGTTGGTATTGCCTTTTACCAGAGACTTGTTGTCCAACTTCTTGTTTTTTGGACTAGAACCACTTTTTGGGTTTCAACATGTGATTACTAGTTTCGGTGCTTGGACCACATATTGGCATTGAAGGGGAGCATTGGAGCAACGGTAAAGTTATTGCCACGAGACCTATAAATCAGGGGTTTGAACCTTAAAATCAGCACCTGATGTTTGCATCATGGTAGCTAGGTTGCTTACATTGCATCTCCTTGGGATGCAGTCCGGAGAGTCCTTGATACCTATAGATCACGGTTCAAGTCATAAAATCAATCATTGATACTTGCATCAGTATAGGTTGCCTACATTACATTTCAAGAGGGGTGTGGCCTTCCCCGACCCCGCATAAATGTGAAATGTTGTTGCATCTCCTTGGAATGCGGTCTAGGGAGTGAGTCTTTGTTACCTATAAACCACGAGTTCAAGTCGTGAAAACAACCATTGGTACTTGCATTAGTGTAAGTAGTCTACACTACATTACACGAAGGGTGTGGCCTTCTCCGACCCTGCATAAACGTGAAGTGCTCCATGCAACACGTTTGCCCTCTTTATCACATCTTCTTGGCATTAAGCTCCACTAGTAAAGAGTCAACAGTTTTACAAAGTAAAATTAGTATTGGACCATGTGAACTATGTATTGAATTCTTGTTTGCATATTGATGGACCACATAAATCTTCATTCCTCTAATAACGTGAGTTGACAATTTCATGGAAACTAGCTTCAAGATTGAGAGAAGCTGCATTTGAGAGAGCAGAAGGAGAGAAGGTTCTGCAGATAAAGCAAGCAGAAGGAGAAGCAGAATCAAAGTACTTAGCAGGGCTAGGAATTGCTCGTCAACGACAAGCTATCGTAGAAGGGCTCAAAGAAAGTGTGATTGGCTTCTCTACTAGTGTTCCAGGGGCATCAACCAAAGATGTCATGGACATGATTTTGATCACCCAATACTTTGATACAATGAAAGAGATAGGTGTCTCATCTAATTCATCTGCTGTTTTCATTCCTCATGAGCTAGAGGATGTGACTTCTGAACAGAGATAAGAAACAGTTTGCTTCAAGGTAACATATTTAGGCTATGATGCTGAACATTATGGTTTAATTTCTGTAAGGGAGAAAGAGATTCATGTATTGTGTTAGTGAAGGTAGGAGTCTAGGAGAGATCGATGCATGGTCCAAAGCGTTCGAATTATACTTACTTTGTAATAGTGATTTCAAGGATGGAGGATAGATGAACTGATAAGAAAAGGGAATAAGAAAAGAAGAAAGGCCTAAAGCTCTCTTTCAAGAGATCCTTTTTTGTGCAACTCACCCCAACACATAAAAAATGATCAAAGAAAGATTAATCAATTATGCGAATGATGAAGCCAGAAGCCCAGGCAAAAGGTTAAAAACCAGTCCCCTCAATCAACATTTAGAATGGGTATTAGCGAAAATCATGAGTTTGCATTACCAGCTGAAGGTTTTTCTCACCGGCGCAGAAGGATAACGCGCTGAAACAAATCTACCTAATTTATTACTCTGGATCATACAAAATGACATTGCTTCACTCACTTTTCTGTAAGGTAGTAACGAACTCATGGCTTGAGGGCTACAGCCAACCCGATTTTGGCGCTCTTTTCAATTGCCCTGGTGTCAACTTCACCAGATATTGTGAAGAGGGATTTTGGTCGCCACTCGTGTTGGATGAGAGCACTTGCCTTACCATAGCTGTTAACACGAGCCTTCACCGTGGTCAATGGGTCCAACAAATGTTGTGTCCCAATGGTGAGTGTGTTCTCATTGCTTGAGAAGCTGTGAGTCAACTCTGCACCAACAGCTGTGTTTGTCACTGGCTTCACGGTGTGGTAGTAGGAAGCACTGACGGTATCACCCTTGTCATTCCTGTATAAAATTAGTACTCAGTTCAAAAGGGTTCAAAGATAAGAAAACAACAAAGATGATGATGGAACATGTTTGTTCCAAAGTCGCAATTTCCGCAAAATTCTAGAACTTTGATGCAATTTTACAGCCATCATATCATTTCAATATAGCATCTTATCAGTAGAGGAGACAAATGATTCATTAGTTTAGCCAGGATGAAAAAATTCAAATGCCAAAAGTATTTCTTGCAGAAAGACAGAAAACCAAGACGTTGCAAGGTATCATTTGACGGTTAGAAAGAGAACAAATGGCTAAAAGACAGATTTTGTTCCATGAAGAATCTAACAAATACATTATGTCCAAGGTAGATATCACGTAAATACTTACAATGCTAAAGAAGCAATCAGATCAGACGAAGAAAAACTCAGACCAGCATTGCATTTTGTGAAATTGCCTGTGGCAGTGTCAAATGATAGATCAGTGCCCAAAGCAACGGTATTGTTTCCAGCAACGCCAGAGAAGTTGACAAGAGGACTTGCTGTAAGTCCAATGCTAGTGTTGATCCCAGCATACTCATGCAAGTACTGAAGCTCTACCTGTAACATAATACTTTTGCTTAGTATCACACAGTTCAGTAAACTACCAGCCAACTACAGAGAAATATAGTAAAAAGCAAAGGTACCTTTCCAGACTTCTGGTCTGGTACGACAAAGCTGAAAATTGTCTTGAGTCCTGGTGCAGGTTCATCAACAGTGATGGTAGTGTAAACCTGCATCATTCAATCCAAATTACTTAGCATATTCTTGTATTGCCCCAGCTCAGTTTGAAGAAAAGAACTTGAACTTGTGGATTTCCCAATCAGTAAGTCTCAAAAGTTGAAAATTCAAAACCGAAGACGGACAACTTCTTCTGAGAGTGCAGAGCAGAGGGCAGGGAAGATTAGAGAACAAGCTAGATAACTCAAATGTATTCTCCTCCCCAATCAACTATCCTTTGACTTTTGATTGTACAACTCTTTTTTTTTTAACTATCACAAAACTCGTCTTGATTATCATGCTTGACAAATTCAGTTTTCGGTTACTATAAGTTTGCATTAGGAGGTATACATCAGGGGGAGGGAGGATTAGATTAAGGAAGCATGCACATCGCCATAATCAACACCAGGGTAAATGTTAAGCTAACACCTAATATGCCATTATGTGGATTAAAGCAAGTTTGCACGAGATCCAACAGCGAAATGGAGAAGAGGGCACAAATGGGAAACATAAAACTATAGTAGATATTGGTTATGTGACTATCCAAACATTTCAATTACAGCCTTATAGTTGTTGGACAACATATTAATATCGTTAACTGCAAGTGTGAAAACAAATCATAGACACCAAGCTAAACTAACAAACACAATCTTTCAATAACAGAAAGGAAAAAGCTATAGACTCCATGGACTCGCAGAGCATTAAATCAGACCATAAGGAAGAAAATGATAACAAAGTAACCAAAGTGGGAATCCTTCATATTTACTATCGATTTTCTTGATTTTTGTGGGTTATATTTTCAGGGAAATGGATACTTGAAGGATTGAGAAAGTTTGATCAAAGTGTGGCCAGGTCAGTATAACTCACAAGTCAAAACTAAACATGTTGAGCACCTAGTATCTCCAAAGATGTATAATTTTAATATTGTATCTCCCAATAGAAGTTACTAAATATAGTACTAACAAATATGAGATCCCAGTAATGAAAAATGAACTCACATTGGAATTGGTGTCCACTTTTACATCAGTGGTAATGTTTTTGTTCTTCAGCTGGGTGCTAACATCCGCCAAGAATAATTCACCTTTCTTCAGACCAGATGCGGTAATAGCCTGAGATGTAAGACAAACTTTAGCAACATATACTCGAAGTCTTAATTGACCACAAAACAATTTCAATAACAAGATAACATTGTCAAACAATGTGAAGAATCCACTACATGCATCGTGAGGCAATACCAAGGAAGTCCCTCCCGAGAAACACACACTCTGCTGGAAGTTAGTAAAGTAACAAAATAACCAGAGGCAAATGTATAGCCTTGTGGTACCGGAATCATCTGAATCCGGTACTTTTCATAGCATAAATTTGTGTTAAAAGTTCCATGAAAATCACAACAAATAGTATATATGAACCATAATTTTAAAAATACAACAGATTCAATGCTAAAACCTTAAATATTGAACCCATAGATTTTAAAATCCTAGATTTGCCATTCCAGAAGATGAAAATAATTATTAGTCGCATGATACCAGCAAAATGTAAATAAGATGACATCTCATTCTTCATTTCTAAAGTAATTAGTTTCTTCCCTATATTCCTAGGAGCAGCATAAGACCAAGTTTATTAACCCCCGCTCCACACACATACACCTTAACTTCTTCTAATTTCCAGTATTCTCATAAAATTTGTCACAATTTCATACTTGACAACATAAACCACAGCTCCCTCATCCCACACCCCAAAACACAATCACGAATGAACAATAAGCAAAAAGTTTGAATGATAATCATATACATATCCAGAAAGAAACTAACCACTCCCGTTGTGCTGTACGTAGTGACGGTGAACTTATGGTCACTGACATAGTCCCTGTACAGAAGATCTAAAAACAATAACAAAAAGATACAATATCCATCAATTACCACCACACATGAAGTTCATTTGATAATTTTTTTCATTAACATCAATCTTCCATGTTTGGTTTTGTACAAATAAAGTTTTATATGCCTCCTCCATCCCAATTGATGTAGCACCTTTCATATTTCAAGGCTCAACTGTGAAATTTTCATGTGCACTTCAAATTATCAATTTCAGTACTTTTTCCATAGTTTCCAAAAATGTAAATGTATTTCTAAAAACTTAAAAAGTTCCATGTCCGAATTAACAGTTAAATTTTTTTTTAAAAAGTTCCAACTCTCAAAATTAAAAAAGGTGCTACTGCTACATAAATTAAGACAGAGGAACTACCAAACAGTAATGAAAAAAATAATTTCCTCCAGAAATAAAAAAATACACAGTTTCTGTAGTACCAAACTATATTGTTCAGACTCTTCAAAAATATCCACATGTGCTTATCGAATATTTCCAAAAAAAGTACATTTCTGGAGAATCCGAGCAACATATTTCCCTAGCACCAATCTATATTGCTCGGACTCTTCAAAAATATCAACAGCTGCACATGTTATATTCCAAAAAATAGTACAATTTTTTTGAGAATTCAACAAGGATGCAACAACATTTTTGGAGAATCAGCAACATTTTGAGAATTCAACAAGGATGCACCAAATTATATTACTCAAAACTCTTCAAAAATATCAACTAGTGCTTATCGAATATCTCAAAAATAGTACTACATTTTTCAAAAAATCCGATACACATGCAACAACATTTTTGGAAACGGAACAAAACGAAAAAAAGTGAAAAATACCTCTAGCTTTTTTGCCGATATCGGAGTAAAGTCCAGGTCCCTTCACCATCTCTGCAACAGAAGAAAAAAAAAACTCGAACTGCAAAAGAGAGAGAAAGAGAAGCTTCTAGAGAGAGAAAGTCTACTCACAGAGAGATAGAATCGGTGTGTATCGAAAGACTTGGTTTGTTACCAAAAAAGAAAATTATAGTGTAATAGGAATAACCCTAGACTATTTCGTTTAGTTCATTTTAGACCGTTTGATCTAATGATGGATGTGAAGAAAGAGATTCTGGACCGTTGATTATATCTAACGTGAGGGTACTTTAGTACTTTTATATTTTCTGTTTTATTGAATTTATTATTTATTTTTTTGTTAGACCAACTTGGATCATTCACAGCCCTTCGACTCTACCCGGAGATACGTTGTCAATTTTGAAATTAAAAAAAAAAAAAAATTAATTTATTTGCTTAAATTCAAACTTAGACCGATTAAATTATGACTCATTTAACTCGAGTTAATCCATTATAAATAAGTATGAATTATTTTAGTTAGATTTATTAGTAGTTATTCATTATTGACTTGACACATGAATTAATATAATTAATACTTCATATTAATGTAATTTCATATTATATGTCCAACAGGTCCTTATGATCTGGGAATTAGGATATTTATGCCCGATTCAATTGTTAAAGAACAAAAGGCATGAATTCAAGTCATAAAAATGGATCAACATGAATTGTGGTGGGCTAGTTAGAATTTCTACATTTCAGAACTAAAAGTCTTGAATTTGAGCT